CTTTTATATCTCCGATCCAGTTAATAGTAGTTGGTCAATAATGCTTCAAGGGAAACCCATGTATGGTAGTGATGACCTTGAAGATTTACAACTTCAACAGTTTACTAGTCCATCTTCAGCATCACACATTTTACCTTCTAATGATGACAATGAACAAGATGATGTATATGCCACCCGATTTGATCATGAAGAAGGAATATGGGAAAATTGTTAAACAATAGGTATATTATGATTTTTACACTATTACTTACTTTGCATGTCTTTGTATTAGTTACTTTGCATTCTAACTTATTTATTTGTCTTATTTGGCAGGAATATGGCCGATTCTAGTAGGTCCGCGAAGAAGGGGAGACGTGCAACATGACTTAGTGAGTTGACACTAAGTCGGAATGCTGATGAGAGGTTACCGATTGAGTTTGATGACTCGACCGGAAATGCTATTGGGCCTCACGCAACAAAGTTTAGAAGTTATGTTGCACTTCTGGGCCGCAGCAAAGCGAGCATAATAAAGAAGGATTGGGATGATGTGGAGACGCGTGTGAAGGAACAAATTTGGCAAAGCATCTTGGTATGAATTTTTTTTTATTAAATTTACTTGTATTGTTAATTCTTGTAGGATTCACTAATCTTGTATTCTTTTTTGTAGCTCACTTATAATGTTTCGAATACTAAAGGGCTAAGGAGGAAGTGGATATCATTCGCTGGTGAGCGTTGGAGGGCCTTCAAGACCCAATTGACTTCCACCTATGAGTTTGGAAGCAAGAAAGGAGTGTCTCCTTGTGAGCAATATTCCTTTCTAGACACTGAGACATGGGATAAGTTTGTTGAGAGCCGAATGAATACTTCTTTTCAGGTTCGTGTGCTTTAAGAATATTGTGCTTGCCTGCTTTTAACTTGCCCATATTTTTAACTGACCTTTTCTTTGAATGTATCTTTATTAGGAGAAATGACAAAAGGCAAAAGCAATTCAAGAAAAAAATGTATATCCTCACAGGCTGTCCCGAGGGGGTTACCAGCTACTTGAGAGGAAGCTAATAGAAGAGAAGTGTAAAGCTTCTCAAGAAGCCTCTCAAAGTGACCCCTCAGGTGTGACTTCACCTCCATCACCTCCTTCTCGTCATGAGAAGTGGAAGAAGGCACGACAGAGCAAGAAAGGTGACTATACTACAGATGAGAGTCGTGTTGTGGGACAGAAAATTGTAAGTATTTATTTAAAAAATTGTTCATAATGAGATAGAATTATATATTGTGTCTTCTCTAATCAATTACATTTTCTTTGTAGGATGAATTATTAGAGCAGAGTTCACAGGGGACCTTTACCCCTAGTGGACGAGAAGATATATTATCCACTGCTATTGGACGACCAGAGCATCCAGGTCGTGTGCGGGCAACTGGATGGGGGATTGGCATCCGTTAATATTTTGGCACTCCTAAATTTACCACAAAAAGTGTGGTAATTAGAGATGAGTTGCAGGCCATCAGGGATCAAATTAGGGAAGAGCTTCGAGCGAAGCTAAGGCAGGAACTTGTCTCCTTAGGCTTATCTCAGGGGAACACAGGAGGGGGTCAACAGTGTGTTCCCGAAGCTTCTCGCCCTGAGGAACGTATTAGCACCAAAGGGAGTTGTGCACCGAATGACCTTCCTGATGATGAGTCAACTCCACTTGGTGAAGACACTCCTAGGCCTCTATGCAAGTTGTTCACACAGGAAGGCTTGCTAGTGGCTTATGGTACTGTGCATACATTAGGGCCACTTATACACGGCGTAGAAATGACGGATTCCTCTGTTCGTGTTGTGGTTGAACGGGTGCAAGTTTCGAAGCTCCTGTTCCTGTTCCATCCGACGAGGTTAGAACAGTGGGGGAGGCTCCCGATCATTTCATTCAGTGGCCTAGAGCACTTATCCGGTTTCCTACTGATCAGGTATTATATCTTTTCTTTAATAATTTGATACATGTTTATAATTTTATTATTTTATCATAAATTTTAATTTAATTCCTTAATGTGTATAGGACATTTGTGCCCAGTAGAAAGGAAAGGAGAAGGGGAAGGAGAAAGTTCAAGAGCAACTGGACTCGGATCCGATACAAAGGTTATGCCTCTTAGCTTACAAGCTAGGAAAGCATATACCTTTACAGATCCAGATGGACCCTCATGTGATTGGGAATCCGCAGCCCATCACGTTGTACTTGAGTCAGAAGGACATGATGGATGTTGTTTTCAGTCAAGACATGATTTGCGTCACAATTCTCCAAGTCTGGTTAATGTAAGTCTTATGTTTTTATTTAAGTCAATTGGTTGTATGCCGTATTAGATACCAACTTGTCTAAAATGCAATTAACATGATATTTTCAATTCCAAGTTACCTCAACAAAGCTGTTATGGAAAAGGGAGTAGTAGATGTCTATGGATTCATTGATCCTGTCCACATTCAGAGTTTGGGGAACAAACCAAATACTATTCAAGCATACATTCAAAAGAGATTTTGTGAAGGATCAAAGGAAGTTTATCTCGCACCATATCATTATGGGTAAGTTTTTTTAAATTACTTACTCTCAAACTTTGAATCTCTTAAGAATTGCTAATTGAGTGACATTTTTTGTAGGTGTCACTGGCAACTGCTTATCCTTTGTCCTAAACGTAATGAGGTTATTTTGTTATGCTCCTTATGGAATAAACCCAAAAAGGAAATTAAACAGATTATTGATGTGTAAGTATACTAACACCCTTATATATCAATATGTCTTTGATAACTGTAAAGATCTGTGCTTCACTCCTTTGAGCTAAATAGTATCCAGATTTAAAGCATTTAAATAGTATCCTTTGTGCTTCACGTGGACTGATACACTTAAAGCATTTAACTAAGATGTAATCATTATACAAATGCACATGAATTGTATAACAAATACATAACATCCAGTCCCAAATCCCGATCCAGACAACATTCAATTGTTTAAGATGATGTGTAAGTATACTAACACCCTTGTATAATATTTCATTCATTTCATTTTAAGTTCCACATGTCTTAATATGAAGTATTTCCATTTAATCTTTTATAGGTGTATATAAGCATGCTCAGTCATGGAGGGTAAGCCTAAAAAGAAACCCACATGGATACTTCCACGTGTAAGGACGTTATCTTTCAAATTCTTAACTTTAATTTACTCATTTTCTGTATTTAATGTTTTTTTTCTTATTTTTCTTATAGTGTAATAAGCAAAAAGGAAGTTGGGAGTGCGGATATTATGTGATGAGACATATGTTAACAATCATCACAACAAATATCACAGATTCATGGAATTTGGTATGTGTTATGACTATATTTATGTCATTGACATATATTTGCCTACTTGTGCTTCTTTCAAATGTTTTTTTTATTGTTTGTAGATATTCAAAGATGGTCATCCAATAAGTGAAGCAGAGATTGATGACATTAGATGACTTTGGGCAGATTTTGTTATTAAGAACTATAGTCGTGATTGAATACTTAATTGTGAAACATTAGGACTATTTTCTTTGTATATATAAACTTAGAATACAATAATGTTCACTGTTTGTTATTATGTAATATACATTATGTTTACTTGTGTGTTGATGCATGTCCTTTATAGATTAACGTTCTGAGTAGCTGTAAATATTTAAAATGCTGTACAGGTTCTGAAAAATCAAAAACTAAAATTCGTATTTAAAAAAGAAAATATGACTTTCCACATCGGTTATGGCCTAGAACCAATGTAGAAAGTCATTTTTTTATACTTTCTACATCGGTTCTAGGCCATAACCGATGTAGAAAGTCTGATTTTCCACATCGGTTATGGCTAGAACCGATGTGGAAAGTCAGACTTTCTACATCGGTTCTTAACCGATGTTAAAACTCACCAAGTTTCTACATTGGTTGTATCTACATCGGTTGTAGAACCGATGTAGAAAGCTGCTGAGAACCGATGTTAAAGGTGTTTTTTGTACTAGTGTATTCTATACAAATCACACTTATTACTAGAAAAGTCAAGAATATTATAACTTTCTATGATTACAAAATTACAAACTGAGGGCCCTATAGAAATGTTATTAAAACATAGAGTCCTTTTGTGAAGTATCCTTCGAGAAAAGTATATTTAGCTTTCAGATACTTAAACATAATAATTATTAGTAGTAAATTAAATTTCACATTGTTATCTCTATAAAACTGAGACACATTGATCAAGTTCTAAGATTTTGTAGGAACATGTAACAAATTTTTCAGGAAAAGATGTTAATTTGAGTTAGAAGAGTGAGAATAGGAATAACATACATGTGGAATGGATGTAGAATCTCTATTAACAATTCATGACTATATATATATATGACTTGGCTTATTGCATACTTAACACAATGATCTTTTATACTTGTTTTGCTTCTCATAACCACAACCAGATCCTCTTCCAAAATTCCTGTCACCTTAAAATTATTCTCTATTCCTTCCTTTATTATTTTGTTGACCTCAACCTCTAAAATATCTCATTCCATTCCCAATCCTCCTTAAAATCGAGCATAATTTTCTTGTATATTCAAGGATTCTTGTTCTTGTCTTCCTAATTTCTATAGTGGTTAAGATAGTTCTTGAATTAATAAAAGTAACAAGAGAATTATACTCACTTGACAATAGGTAAACCAACTGATGCTTAGGTATTGATAATCATCTTGATAATAAGAATATATGAATTTATAGAATCTTGTTTCTTGATTCCTTTAAGCTCTTATTTTAATTAACAAACACGAGCTCATGATTGTGTTTCAAAGTAAAAATGTAAAGATCTCCAAATTTAGAATGCATGATCGCAACCCACCTTTCTTGAATGCAAATTTAGTGACATAGATGCTAAAGGTCAAGAAAAGATCAATTGATCTTGTTGCTTTCAAATTGAATATAAACTTCAGCTAGAAATTTATATTTTGGATTGGAATACTTTAAAGTCATACCACCATCTTTATGATCCACATATTTTTATAACTTAAAGGATTTAATGACACCGATTGCTTGCATTTTTCATACTAGAAAATTGTCATTGTTAAGGTTCCAACATAAAACCAATTGGCCATATGTGGAGTAGCCTAACATGTATTTAAACCATACCAAATGATATGAGGTAGACGATGTGGGACTTTCAACACACCCCCTCCAACGAAGCCCGCCGGACCAGGCAAAGGGTACTTTTGACCCAACTAAAGGGCAACTTTTGGCCCATGACAATAACCGGAAAGATGTTAGGCTTTGGTTCTGATACCATGTTAAGGTTCCAACATAAAACCAATTGGCAATAGAAAGGACATTCTTATAGGCATTCACAAACATATGTGGGGCAGCTGCAAGTGTTGGGAATGAGATGGCCAACGAAAGAGAAGTAACCATGGAAACACCGGCGGCAAACTTCTCAATGAGGTCATCCTCGGTAAGATCAAGGACCTCAGGGCTAAATACAGACCCATTATCATAGACGGAAAGAACCACAAGCCCATATGAGAAAGGTCTTATGCCAAGTTTAGCAAGCAATGCAACTTCAGAAGATCCAACCTTCTCTCCCTTCTTAATGAGTTCCACAGGGGTAATGATTTCCACAGTACCCTTGTTAATCTTTGTTGGAATATTCAGAACCTGGAAGAAAGAGGTCTGAGATGGATCAAGACCCGTGTTGCCAGGAGGAACAACAACATCAATTGGGGCAACCAACCCAACGCGAGCAGGAGCTCCAACCTTGTACTTAGCAACCTCCTCACTGACCTCCTTCAAGTCACCCTTGGTGAAAATCAATCCCACATTGCCGACAAGGAGGGGGATTAGGTTGAGATATGCGTTGTTGCCTGTTTTCTCTGCGTGTATCCTGACGGAACGCTTCATCATCGTGTTTTTCCCCATGAGGACGACGGAGTCACCGCGGAGGCCTTTGCGGATGTTTTGGAGCTGGTTGGATCCCACGTTATCCGCGTTCACCACAAGGATTTGGCCGTATTCTTCCAGAAGCTGGCAGAGCTTCCCATCGTAAGCGATCTTTTTCTCTGCCTTGGTTTGTTTAGGTGCCATTGAAGATGATGCTGATGACTATATTGTCTCTGACCGGAAGTTTTGCACGGCAAAATCGAGGGCCAAGACGAAGCTCTGGCTTGGTCAAGTGGAGTAGCCTAACATGTATTTAAACCATACCAAATGATATGAGGTAGGCGATGTGGGACTTTCAATACACCCCCTCCAACGAAGCCTGTCGGACCAGGCAAAGGGTACTTTTGACCCAACTAAAGGGCAACTTTTGGCCCATGACAATAACCGAAAAGATGTTAGGTTTTGGCTCTGATACCATGTTAAGGTTCCAACATAAAACCAATTGGCCATATGTGGAGTAGCCTAACATGTATTTAAACCATACCAAATGATATGAGGTAGACGATGTGGGACTTTCAACAGCCATCATAAAGCTTGATTAAAACTGGTACAAAGGTTAAACAATCGAAGTAGAAAAAGAAAATTGTATGGCCATGGTTAGATTGCAATTTGACACCATATGAGAGAAAGAGGGAACCTTAGACTAATCGTCACTTTGCATGTGATAATCCATGCTTGTTGTTCTAGGGTCTGCACAACCTGTTTCCTAAGTTGCTTGAAGCTTTGTTAATCTGTACGAATGATGAAGGATTGGCCTATCAAATAGTGGCGAAACATAACTACAACCTCTATGATAACATATAGCTCACAAGCATATGTAGACTAAATTTGCATCCTAAGAGATAACCTCTTGGAGAAAAAAGGTAATCAGACTGGCTAAGAACTACACTGATCCCAAAACTTGAACCGTTTGTTTCAATAACAAAAGGTTTTGTGAAGTTCAGAAGAATAAGACTAGGTAGTAATGACAATTTTTAATGCAATAAAAGCTTCAATAGTCACGATAATCTAATAAAACACATCCTTAATGCACCCAAATATGTTATTTGATCAGTGGGCCAACTATCACATCGGGACACATTATTTGACGCATCTCTTTCCTCTCAAATTTTAAACACTTTGAGTTTCTTTGAAACTCCTTTTTATCTTTTCCTCACAATACACTAGTACAAAAATCACTTTTAACATCGGTCTTTTCACATCGGTTCTTTAAGAACTGATGTAGAAAGTCTTTTTATAAAATTAAGAGAATTGTTACTGGCAAGATTCAAACCAAGTACCTTAGAATTAAAGACTGATACTCCAACCACTAAACTACTAGGATTTTCTAATAATAACTTATAAATAAATTATATTTATATACAAATAAAAATATATATCCATGTAAATATATAAATATATAAATATGAAATATATAAATATAAAATATATAAATATAAAATATATAAATACAAATACAAATATATTTATATTTATATGTTGGATGTGAGAGTGCGTTCGAAAGTGAAAGTGTGTGTCAAGTGGGTTTTCAAAATTTGATGTCAAATTTGTGAGCGAGTCTCTTTATATGAATTTGTAATTTAATGATAGAATATAATTTTTATAATTTATTTATAATGATATAGAATATAATCTTTATAATTAATTTATATAATGATATAAAATAAAGAAAACAAAATATTTTATATCATTATATAAATAAATTATAAAGATTATATTTTGTCATTAAGTTATAATCCATATAAAGAGATCCGCTCACAAATTTGACATCAAATTTTGAAAATTCACTCGACACACACTTTCATCCTCGAGCGCGCCCTCACATCCAACATATAAATATATAAATATATTTATATTTGTATTTATATATTTTATATTTATATATTTACATGGATATATATTTTTATTTGTATATAAATATAATTTATGTATAAGTTATTATCGAGAAAATCCTAGTAGCTTAGTGGTTGGAGTATCAACCTCCGACTCTAAGGTATTGGGTTTGAATCCTACCAGATGACAATTCTCTTAATCTAATAATAATTCAAATTTCTAAAAAATATAATAAATAATAAAAATATAATATAAAAGGGAGAGGAGTTTATATCATATAAAAGGGAAAGAAGACCTCTAGATCAATAGATAAGGTAATAAATAAATAAAAATATTAGACTTTCTACATCGGTTCCTTATAATCGATGTGGAAAGTCACATTTTCTACGATGTTAAAAACCTATTTCCTACTAGTGATACTTATTCACTATTTGACATGGGCATAATCACTATTATACAAAAACCTTTGTATGTCAAATTTTGTAGATTTTTTATGTCGATTATAAAATTAAAATTAATATACACTACTACAAATAAGACTTTCCACGTCGGTTTTGGAAAGTCTGATTTTTCAAATTGAAATTTTTTAACTTAAGTGAATTTTTGGCTGAAAAAAAATAAAAATACTTTCCAGAAAATATAAATAAATATATATTTACACGGATATATATTTATACGTATATAAATATAATTAATTTGTAAGTTATTATCGGAAAATTACAGTAATTTAGTGGTGGAGTATCGGCTTTCAACTCTAAAATACTGGATTCGAATCATATTAGTGACAATTCTCTAACTTAAAAGAATTTTTGGGTGAAAACACATTCAACGTCGGTTCATCGGGAGCCGACGTTGAATGTGTCAATAAAATGACTTTCAACGTCGGTTCATCCGAAACCGACGTTGAAAGTACTTTCTACGTCGGTTGACTAAAAAACCGACGTAGAATGTGTCTAACATTCAACTTTCAACATCGTTTTTTAACCAACCGACGTTGAAAGTGTATTTAACGTCGGCTCAGATAGAAATTATCTATTTTTTATATCAATTTAAAAACATATACAAAACTCACATTTTATGTAGAAATGAAACTTTCTACGTCAATTCAAACAACAACATAATCAAAAGTAACATTTTTTATAATGATTATTGATTTAACTGAGATAAAAGTGACACTTATTAATTTAATTAATATAAAAAATTATACTTTCTATAACGATTAAAATAGTATCTTTCATAGAAAATAATACTTTTTGTGATCATAAAAAAATATAATTTTTTATATTGATTAAACAAACATGTTAAAAAATATAATTTTTTATATCGATTAAACAAACATCATAAAGTTACAATTTTTTTTAACATTTTATTTATTTATTTAACATTTTTATTCAACCTCCCTATATAATATATATATATATATATATATATATATATATATATATATATATATATATATATATATATATTTCAGGTATATCTATATACCGATAAGATTACATGCAAAATAAATTAAATTCATACAGCATCAATTGAAAATGATGCCATTTTATTTTTGAAAACCAGTTAGAAAAACTACAGTGCATACCATGTTGTTCTTGGAATCAACGCTTAACTTGAAGGGTTTCATATGATGTATTAAATATCATAAGTAAAGATATGCATGAATGATAAGCATATCTACAGCCTAGCATGTGTAACACATGTATGTATTTGTAAGAAGAACAATAGCTGATCACATGCCTCGGGTGATGCGAGGAGACAACCATTACAAACACTCCTGAACATCCATTCTCCAAATGACTATGGTAAAACATTCCAAAATTAATCTTGAATTTACAGTCATGTATTGTAAAGTTAACTTGATGAAATATAGGGTTATGAGACCGATGATATATTATCTGGGTGAGGTAAGGTCAAATCTACATGATATGTCATAGCTGAAACCAAAGCCACCTCACACCCAACAAGCTACCAAAAAAAGTTTAAGAACATCATTATACAGAGAAGTCAACACTAGTGCAAAAAAAGGCTTTTACGTCAGGTATTTTGGGCTTTTTACATCGTATTTAAGACTGACGTTAAAATGGGAGATGTAAATTTATGTCGGATCCCTTAGTCTGACGTAAATTTACGTCCGTTATCGAGACCCGACGTGAATTTACGTTGCATATACTACTAAATAGACGTCAAAAGTTTCCAAAATTAAAAAAAAAAAGTAAATTTACATCGCATATTGGTATACGTGACGTAAATTTACATCGCGTATTGGTATACGTGACATAAATTTACGTCGCATATTGGTATACGCGACGTAAATTGGAGGAGTATCCACAAGACTCTTAACATTTGAGGAGTATCCTTGTAACACTTTGACCTCATGTAAACACTCACAAAAGCTTCTCTTTTCTTTCTTTGATAGAGTATGACAAGCTGGAGGTAAGTAAGTGCGTTTTCCAACTGATTGTGGATGTAATTCAGAATGTATACCCATGTCCGCCAAATCTTGTCGTGCTTTTATTCCATCTTTTGTCTTTCCTTTTATGTTAAGCAATGTCCCAATTATACTATCACAAACATTTTTTTCAACATGCATCACATCTATACAGTGTCTAACTTCCAACTTACACCAATAAGGAAGATTGAAGAATACAAACTGTTTCTTCCAAATGATTTTCTCATTGGATTTCTTTTGGGTCTTTCCAAACACAATATTAATATTTTTCACTTGCTCATATACTTGTTCACCATTGCGTGGTACTGATGCAACTGCATTCTCCTGACATCCATTAAATGCTTTCTTCATTTTACGATATGGATGGTTAGCAACTAGAAACTTTCTATGCCTATTGTACGCAGTTTTTTGTCCATGTTTCAATTGGATATAACTTGTGTCTTCTTGACATAAAGGGCACGCTAAATGATGTTTCACACTATAACCGCTCAAATTACCATATGCTGGAAAATCATTTATAGTATAAAATAACATTGCACACAACCTGAAATTCACTTCGTGATATGAATCAAATACCTCCACTCCTGTTTCCCACAACATCTTCAAATAATCAATTAAAGGACTAAGATATACATCTATGTCATTTCCTGGTTGTCAAGGTCCTGAAATCATCATAGATAACATAATATATTTTCTCTTCATGCATAACCAAGGAGGCAAATTGTAAATGATCAACAAAACTGGCCATGAACTATGTTTACTACTTAAATTTCCATAAGGATTCATCCCATCTGTAGCTAATCCAATTCTCAAGTTTCTTGGCTCTGCACCAAATTCTGGAAAGGTTTCATCAATCCTTTTCCATTGTGGAGAATCAACTAGATGTCGAAGAAGATTGTCACATTTTCTACCATTTGCATGCCATGTCAAGTTTTTTGCATCTTCTTTTATGGTAAATAATCTTTTAAACCTAGGTATAATTGGCAAATACCATAACACCTTAGCAGGGGGACCATCTAGTTCTTCCTCACCACTACTTTCCTCAACTTTGTTTTTGAACCTCGATAAACCACATGTCGGACACATCTTTAATTTAGCAAAATCATTTCTGTACAATATACAATCATTAGGACATGCATGTATCTTCTTGTACTGTAAACCCATTGGACATAATATCTTCTTTGCCTCATAGTTACGAATAGATAATGTATTATCTTCAGGAAACATCTCCTTCAACAACTCCAATAATTCGGTGAAACTTTTATCAGTCCATCAATTTCTTGCTTTTAAAGTAAACAATTTTAAAGTTGCTGATAATCTTGTAAAACTATATCCTATGTACAATTGTTGCGCAAAATCAGATTTCAAAGAATCATATAGATGTGTTTTCATAAAATTTTATTCACCAATATCACGTATCATATCCTCTAGATTATCATCCATCCCTTCGTCAAAATTGTTTGTAGTTGACATAGTTGGGATGTCTAATATTTCTCCATGCCATGTCCATATTGTATAACTCTTAATAATACCATAAACAAACAAGTGATCACGTATATCCTCAAGTTTATGACGAATTTGATTCAAACAACAAACACATGGACAATAATAGGTCCCTTTCATAGCTTTTCCATTTTCACTAGCAAATTTCAAAAATTCCTCAACTCCCTTTTCGTATTCTTCACTAATACGACGTGCATTCATCCAACTTTGATTCATATTATGTTATAAACTTTCGTCACTCCTTGAGATTTAAAATTTATATGTAAAAAGAAAATAATATACACAAAACAAAGCACGTAAATGGAGTGTGTAAACCAAAAATGCACTCAAACAAATAAACAAATAATTACATTCCAATAACAATCCAGTGGAGACATCATACAATAACGTGATTGAGATCCCCAAAAACAATCACGGATTCAATTTAAACATATATCAGAAGACATAGAACACTAACCTCGAGTGTATACGAAAATGATTTCAAACTCGAATCCAATTGGAGAGAAATGTCCAGTTCGTAAAATGAGACACAATGTTGATGTTTTTCACTATCCAAATGATCGAAAATGGTGTGCAAAGGTAGTTGTTGTCGTCGTTCTCAAAAACCCTTGTTGCACGAGATGAGGGAGCGGGTATGGAAGAAAATAAAAGACAATTTTTACGTTGCGCACCCCAGCATGCGACGTAAAAAGCCTCTTTTACGTCGCACCTAGGTGGCACGACATAAAAGAGAGGTTTTTTATGTCGTGCACCCTAGCACGCGACATAAAAAACCCTCTTTTACGTCGCGCCACCCAGATGCAACGTAAAAGATGTTTTTTTACATGCTGGGATGCGCGATGTAAAAGTTTTGCCTCTTATTTACAAAATTGTCACCGTATTTTATTTAAGTCGAATATTTTTACATATGACGATAATTAGGTGACATAGAAACCCTTTTTTCCACTAATGCAAGCCTATAAGCCATTTCTCTAGGAATTCTAATAGAAAGTAAGTTGAAAAGAAACTTCATTAGATATTATACTCACGAGCAACTTTACTATAGGTACAAGCAGGTCAAAATACAATAATATAAAAATATAAATAAATCATATAAGCAATAGATTTTCATTACCCACGCGTATTTTGGTAACAGAGCATTAAACACTAATAACAAAGTTTTGGTAAGATGTCAAAAGAGTATCAGTTTGAAAAGACTAATAATCAGATTTTATTGGCACCGTAAATTGTATCGGAAACACCAAAAGGGCATCACATAATAAATAAAATAATCGGTGAAATGCACACCATAAGTTCGACATTACCATTCTTAACCCTGCAATGAAATGCACACCCATATCAAGAATGAAACCTCCCTACCAGAAAAAAAGAAAAAAAAGAAGAAGAACAACTTCACTTAAGGAACCAGAAAAACAATAATTAGCATAATAAAATAGGCATACTGATATACTAATAACATGAGAAGTTATTACAGAGTTTTCATTATTTGCAGTAGTTTAGCTATCACGTATAGTCACAGAAAAGGAGATACAGAAAAATGAGAAATTCTTACTAAAAATGGATTAGAATTTCTCAGTACTCCATGGATAAAATCATATAAAGAATTCAAACTTGAATGTGGGAGAGGAACAAAATTAAACCTCATTCTCAATTGGATAATCTAATGGACAAAATTAAACCTCATTCTCACTTATATATTTCCTCTTAATTATGTTTTCTCATGTACAAAATTTCTGTTTGCAAATTTTTTTAGGAGGGTTAAGACAATTATAATGCTTTCCTTACTTTTAAGAACATTTTAAAGAATACTCCTATGTATATGTATAGGGCACATAGGTCAGTGATAGGCTAAGGCTTAGTAATTAATCATGGACCCACCAAACTGAACTTTATTTGGTTCATTATCTTAGATTATGAAGCAATTATGATCTAAGTTAGTAATGCCAGATAGGAAAAAGGATGACGTTTAATATATGATCAATGAAGGGTGTGATAAGTAGGCAAACATATATGACCCAAAATGAGAAAATGCAGTAAGCAAGACCTTGTGACTGGGCTATATACACTCTGGCAATGTCACAGAAATCAAGTTGTCCTCAAATGTCCAAAGTTAAAAAGCATGTGAGCATCATCACCAGTATCATGGTATGGAATAGCCTTGTTCTTGGAGATTTTGAACTGGAGCGTTTTTATTTGATATATCTTGTTCAATTATAAGCAGATAAATTGTGTGGGGATTACAGCATAATCTCTTTACATTGGTTACATTGCAGAATTTGGAAAGCTGAGCATGGGCAACGAAATGGGTAATAACTAACAACACACCTGCTATCAAAGGTATAAGCTGCAGAAAATTTGGTTAAGTACAGTACTATGTTTCCTACTTTTAACTCTTAATTTCATTTTCCATTATGTAGACGAAGATAACTTTAGTGAAGCCGAGAAAAAAATGTTTCTAAGAAGATACTAATAAGCCAAAGATCTTATGGAAAAATCTTTCATTGATATAACACATGAACCAGGGAAAGATACATGGCAAGATGAGGGTCATGCGGAAGATGTAAAAGGGAAAACTCAAACAACTACAGCAGATGAAGCCAAAGATGAAGATACTCAAGAGAAAGCTAGAGGGTTTGCTTCTAACCATACAACAAGAGTGCTTGAAAATGATTCAATGGAAAGAGATAATCATGGTAGTGAGGTAAATATTGAAAATCAAACGCCTCTAACAGCTGAAGCTGTAAGTGTTCAGGAGAAAGCTACAACATTGGTTTCTGAATATACTGTTGACTATACATGAGTATGATTGACTAAAGATTTTGATGATGATTCTAGAATAAAGGACTTAAAATCTTGAAGACTTATAAGCATTTGTATTTACTTGTAATAACTCTGTTTTGTCTTTATGAGTTTGTAAAATTAGAGTCCAAGATAGTCAGCACATAATCTATCCTCTAAAAGTTCACTTTTATCAAAACCACTTTGTGATAATCAATTATCACTCAGGATAATTGATTATCCTGCATTGAAATCTATTTTCTGAAAACCTTACTGAAATAATCGATTATCTACCCAGATAATTGATTATTTTGATCCAGTTTACTCCTCTGCGAAAATGATTATGTGATAATCGATTATCACTTAAGATAATTGATTATCTACGTTTGTTATGAGTTTTGAATAAATAATTTGGACCAATTTTCGATGCTCCTATTTCCAATACTCCTATTTTCGAAAACTTCTATTCCCCAGATCCTAATCTCTCTACTTAAGGTTCTCTAAGGCTCTCTGCAAAAAAACAAACCTTTTTCATACAAAAGTTAAGAACTGTGATTGCTAGAGAACTTTGTGTAGGGAAGAAAAATGAGTTTTTGAAACCTAGTGTGGGCTAGAAGCAATAAGAATCACTGAGTGGGACTCTTGGTAGATTGTGTGATGTGCCGTCTCTAGAAAAAACTGTTGTTCATCCTTCGTGGATTCAAAGGAGGTGTTCATCTCTTGTGTGACTTAAGAGAGGTGTTTTCTAATCTTTATCTTTGTGTTTTGTAATCTGTTTGAACTGTGATTATAGTGACAACGTTAATTCTCTTTTAGAGTGATTAGCAACTGGACGTAGGGTCTTTTGATCTGAACCAGTATAAAACACTTGTGTAATCTTCTTATCATTTCTCTTTTACTTTACAAGTATTTTAATCGGTGAAATTTGGGAAAAATTTTCAAACCCTAATTTTTATAACTAAACCAATTCAACCCCCCTCTTGGTTTTATCCGCAACCGCAAACATTCCTCTGCGCGCAAGTTCTAACAAGGGGTATTAGAGCTTACTTTGATAGCTCTTCAAAAAATTTCAAAAATGGCCGGATAAAACCAAACCTTTACTAAAGGTGCTTCTATTAACAGACCTCAATTTTTTGCGGGACAAAATTATCCCTTTTGGAAAGTAAGAATGCCAAATATTCTATTGTGCACAAGTTCTAACAAGTGGTATCAGAGCTTTTTTTTATAGTTCTTCAAAAAAATTTGAAAATGGTCAGACAAAACCAAGCCTTTGTTGAAAGTGCTTCTATTAACAGACAACCACTTTTTGCGGGATAAAATTATCCCTTTTGGAAAGTAAGAATGCAAATATTTTTGGAATCTGTTGATAGGGGTGTTTGGGATGTTGTTATAAATGGTCATTTTATTCCAAAAATGACTAAAAATGATGTAGAGGTACCAAAATCATTTTCTAGATGGTCGGCTGAAGAAAATAGGAAAGCACAATATGATGTTTGGGCTAAGAATATAATATCTTCTGCTTTAATCCTTGATGAGTTTTACATGATATCTGTTTGCAAGAGTGCTCAAGAGATGTGGGAAATACTAAGAGTAACCCATGAAGGAACCGATGATGTAAAAAGAGTACGGAATAACTCATTGATTCAAGAGTATGAAATGTTTAGAATGCAACAAGGAGAATCAATTTTTGACATTCAAAATCGTTTCACACATATTGTGAACCATCTCTCCGAGCTTGGTAAGACTTTTGACACTGACGAATTAAATGTGAAAATTCTTAAATCTTTGGACAGAAAATGACAACCAAAGGTCACTACCATTACGGAGTCACAAAATCTTGCCACTATGACTATGGCGACTCTCTTTGGAAAGTTGAGAGAGGATGAACTTCAACTTGGAAGGCTAAACGATGAAGAAGGCCAACATCAAAGGAGAAACCTAGCTTTCAAAACTGAAGTTTCTAAAAACAAGAAAAAGAAGGAAGAAGAAAGTTCTGATAGTGAAGAGGATGAAAACTTGAGCCTCATGATTAAAAAGTTCACCAAATTCATGAAATCCAAAGGTAAGAAGAATGAGAAAGAAGTTTCTTCATTAAATTTTAAATGTTATGGTTGTGGTGAAACAAGACATGTGAAATCTAAATGTCCTAACAAGAAGAGTGATGATATAAAGGAAAGAAATCCTTTAAAAAGAAAGCTTATATAGCTTGGGATGATAGTGACTCATGTTTGGAGTCAAGCGATTCGGAGGTTGAAGCAAATATTTGCTTGATGGCAAATGATAGTATTTTTTTCGATTGTGTTAAGTGGTAAAAAGTTGTTATAATTATGCCTTGAATTGTTATGAAACCACTTAACTTATGTTGATTCTAATATATTTTTCTCCCAATATAGGATGAATTCGAGAATACCTTGATGCAAGAGTAAGGAGCATAATTTGTTAGAAATGTAGGCTGAGATCAAGAAGGGGGGTGAATTGATCTATGAAATATTTTCACAATTTACAGATTATCTATTTCAAAGATTAAGAATTCTGACCAGTTCTTGAATCACACACACCAAGCAATCAAAATAAAGGTAGTGACAGAATTAAAAGAGAGAAAGGTTTAGAAAGATACAACCAAGATTTATACTGGTTCACCCAATCCCAGGGCTACGTCCAGTTTCAAGCCAAATTCCATCTGGGTTCCACTAGATTGAACGTTTTACAGATTACAACTTTAATCTCACACTCAATCTACCACAAGAACCAAAATTCCAGTTCCTGCACCTAAACCTTCACCAATAACCAAATTTCAGTTCTTGACCAACCCTGCAGCCAAATTTCAGCTACAGAAACCAGTGCCCACAATTCCAGGCACCCACAATACAGTAAAGAAATTAAAGAAACAAAGAGAGGAAACTAGAACGCTCAAACCAGATTTATGCAACTCTGCAGTATGAGTTTCTTCTCCAAAAGAATGCAAATTTTGCCTCAAGAAAGAACTTCTATGAACTTCACAAAACTATAGCAATTCTCTCTTGAAAGTAGCACTTATAATTGCTTGATTGATTGCTAAAAGATGTTTTTTAAAAAGTTCAAGCGACTCTGTTTATATAGAAGATTTTCAAAACTGCTGGTTTATTTAATCTGTTAAAATAATCTTTTAATCTGTTAAAAGTCTTGTTTTAATCTGTTAAAACTTCTTTTAATCTGTTAAAAAGTTCTTGATTATTTTCCAGATTTGTTTTAACTGATACGACATCGTTTATATCAATTAAAACTCTTTGTAAAAAATCTTCTAAACTGTTTTAATCGATTGTTTCGTCTTTCAATCGATTAAAATACTGCAAAACATTCTTATAAACTTTTCTAAGTGAGTTTAACTGATAACAATCTGTGTTTAATCGATTAAAACACTTTAAAAAAAAGTTCACTTAGTTATTTTAATCGATTGAAATGAATTTTAATCGATTATAATTCTGCCAAAAGATTTCATAAAACTTTCTAAGTTATTTTAACTGATAGCAAGTTTGTTTTAATCGATTAAAACATTCTGGAAAAATCTCTTCGTTGTTTTAATCGATTATTTCGCATTTGTATCGATTAAAATACTGACATAACAACTTTCAAAACACTTCAAGTTATTTCCATCGATTATTTCGAGTTTGTATCGATTAAAATTCTGCCAGAACACTTTTCAAAATATTCTAAGTCATTTTAATCGATTATATCAATTCTATATCGGTTAAAATACTGGCAGAAGGTTTTCAAAAATCCTTCTAATGAAAACAATCGATTATTTAGAAAACATATCAGTTAAAAACCTGTTACAAAAGTTTTAAGAACATTTTAGTTGATAAAGCTTATATGCTATTAGTTAAAATAGCTAATTAAAAACCTTTTATCAAAATACTTCGTTTTGAACCGTTTAAACATTTTTTAGAGGCATTTGCAAAATCTTTTAAATGACGAAACCTCATGCAGCAAAGGGATAAAAATGATTATACCTAAGCAGAGATGCAGACTCACTAATCCCACTACCCTTTTATCTAAGTGACCTTTGACTACCACAAAGTAGCCTTTGACTTCATTTTTTACTTCATCAAATCAACAAGATCTTTGCCAAAGTAATTCAATAAGATCTTCATCACTTTCATAATTGTCAGCATAATTGGAGTAAAACGGGAAGAAGGAAGAATATTTTCAGCATGAAAGTCGCTCGAGCGAGATGGACTCTCGCTTGAATGAATATCAGTTATTCTTCTCTAGAAGTTAGTCGCTCAAGCGCAAGAAAATTTGCTTGAGTGAATGTTAGTTATTCTTCTTTGGAATTCACTCGCTCAAGTGAGCGTTTTGTCGCTTGAGCGAAAATAGGAAACTTTTGCTTGAGCGAAAGTTTTCGCTTGAGCGAAAGACGCGAGGTCCAATTTTTCCTATAAAAAGATAAGATGTGTTTTGAGAAAAACAAGCGGTTTTGGGGAGAAGAGGCACGACTACTGCTAGGGTTTCGTTCAATCTTCATCAACTCTTCACTTCTTCCACATTTGGAGCATGTAATGGCCAACATGAGTGGCTAACTTCATTCTCTTGGGATTTGGTGTACTTCCATTGAACTATTTTGTATCATGGTGATATTTTGAGATATTAATCTATGTTTTGATGTTGTTATTCTTATCCTTTGTGCTTTGGAATGATTTATTCTTGATGTTTGGGATATGATTGGAAAATATATCTTGAACCCTAGATCACGGTAAGAATATTTGTTATGTTAATTGCCAGGAATGGAATGAATGTATAAATTGCTTAACACCCTAAACCTAATACTGGAAAATCTCTTAATTGTGTGAGGAATCAACATTTATTAGGTTTTCTTATGAATTTCATGTGTGAGGAATCAACATGGATGATTTCAGTAGGTGACATCAACATTGTTAGGTTAATTGATGTTCTTAATTGACATAGCCATTACAAAAGAGGGAAAAGGAAGGAAGCCAATCCTAAGTGCCTTTAATTGATATTTTCTCAACAATTTACAGTTCT